ATCAAAGTCAGCCTTGTCTTGATAGTGAGTTCCAGGCCAGCTGGAGTTAAAGGAAGACTGTCTCAAAAAATCCAAACAAGCACTGGCTGCTCTTGCAGAGGACCCAGGTTTGATTCCAGGCACACACATGGCAGCTAACAATTGTCCTTAACTATACCTCCAGGGGATCCCATGCCTTCTTCTAACCTCCTCAAACATTACAGGACACAAGTGTACTTCTGTACATGCAGGCAATATACTCATACACATAAAATAAAAATAATAAAAAAACCCACTTGACCAAGACCAGTGTGCTGATCAGTTTTTATTGTAGTATAACTACAGTATTTATTTTAGTATAACTAAAATCCCTTGGGAAGAAGGAATCTCAACCGAAGAATTTCCTCAATGAGACTGGCCTATGGCCATGTCTGTGAGGAATTATATCAAGCGATAATTAATGTGGGAGGATCCAGCCTACTGTGGGTGGCACCATGAGGAAGTGGGACTGGGCTACACAAAAAGGTTAGCTGAGTGAGCCAGTAATCAGCATTCTTCCATTCTCTCTGCTTCAGTTCCTGCTTCAAATTCCGGCCCTGATTTTCCTAGACTGTTCCTTAGAAGTGTAAGCTTAAATAAACCCCAAGCTGCTTTTGGTCAAAGTGTTTTATCACAGCAACAGAAAAGCAAACTAGAAGTTAACAACCAAAAGTCTGTGTCCCCAAATGTTCTTCAGTGTAGGTCCATCCACTGGACTCACCAAGGGGCCCATTCCTATAAGACACTGTCTCTCCCTCTCCCTGCAGACATCAATTGCCCAAAATTCCTTAGGTTGGGTTGGGATTTCTTACCAACTTCCCAGTTTCTGTGCTGGGATTTTGTCTGGTTTGAGCTTGCATAGGACTTGTGCGTGCTCTCACCATTGCTATGAGTTCTTATGTGTAACTGACCAGCTGACTGGAAAATCCTGTTTCCTTGTGATCATCTACCACCTCTGTCTCTTACAATATTTTCCACCCTCTCTCCTGCAATGACCCCTGAGCCTTAGGAGGCAAAGGTTTGAAATAGGTTTCTTATTCAAGGTTAAGCACTCCACCTCTTGTTCTCTGCACATTGGCCAGTTTCTATGTTAATCATCATCTGCTGCATAATAAAACTCTGCTGAGAATTAGAAGACACATTCATCTTATGTGTCACTTAAGGCTAAGTAAGCATCTCATAGACATTTATTCTCTGCATTTGACCCCTTTTGTTACTCTGCAATATTTTCTATCTGTTGCAAAAAGAAGCTTATTTGATGACTGGTGAGGTACACTTGTCTTTAAATGTGAGAATGCATATTTAGAATAGAGTAAAAAATTACATTGGTCTAGGAATGTGGCAAAAGTAGGCTTTTCCCTAGGATCTATGACCTCTCCATTAATGTGTACTTGACTATGTTTACAATACCACACACAAGTTCCCTCTCATTGATTGAGCCATAATTCCAATTACATAGCTGTTGGTTACCACCAAGATAAAAGTGTCATTACTGCACCAATAGTGATAGTTTTCTGGGCCAGTCATTGTTGTTTATTAGGCTTTACGTCTAAGTTGGACCTTGATTCGTTTTCTCCTTTAGCGGCTTCCATGCAATCCTCTGATACCGTGAGAGTCTTCAGGGAGGAGGCTTCCAGATCAGTTCCATCTTGATTGCTTCAAGTTCTGCATCTGAAGTATGGCCTGTTATCAGTCATAGGCTCTCACCTTCAAGTTTTGGGAGGCAATCGAGGGCTGTGGCAATAGCCTGTGCTATTTTGGGAGTCTCTTGGACTACCCTGATCAATAACTCAAAGGAAGGGCTCTCCCCTATGGCACTGTATTTTTTTATATACAGCCTTCAGCTATATACATGCACTTGTATATATTGTATGTATATTTTTCAGTAAGACTTTGAACAATACATTTCCCACTGGTTTTTCATATCATGTAAGCATTATTTATCTCTCATTCCCTCTGTACAACAATCCTTACCTCCCCCAGTTAAAGCAGCCCTCCTCTTTCCCCATTCCCTCTTTAATAACACCTATCCCCCATGATTCCCCTCTCTTGAGCTCCTTCTTCTCCTTCGACCCCATGGTTCCTTTCTATTTTCCTGACTTCTGTGTCTATATAAGGCTATATACTCACCTCTAGGGATTTGGAGCTAAGATCCACAAATGAGAGAGAATATATTTCACTTGTTTTTCTGAGTCTGTGTTACTTCACTTAGTATAACAGTTTCTAGTTCCATCCATTTACCTACAAATTTCATTATTCCATTTTTCTTTACCATCGAGTAGAATGCCATTGTACAAATGTCGCACATTTTCATTATCCATTCATCAGTTGAGGGACATTTAGGTTGTTTCCATTTCTTAGCTGTTGTGAAAAGAGCAGCAACAAGCATGGCTGTGCAAGTGTCTCTGCAGTTGGATGAGTTCGTTGGGTATATGCCAAGGAGTGGTATAACTGGGTCATATGGTAGGTTGATTTTTAGTTTGTTAAGAGTTCGCCATACTGATTTAACAATAGTTTGCAATCCCACCGACGGTGGACGAGGGCTCCCCTTCCCTGCATCCAGGCCAGCATTTGGTGTCATTTGTTCTCTTGATCTTAGCCATTCCGACTGGGGTTAGATTAAATCTTAAAATAATTTTTACTTGCATTTCTGTAATCACTAAGAATGTTGAACACTTTTAAAGGTATTTCTTAGCCATTGTTATTTCTTCTTTTGAGAGTTCTCTGCTCAGATCTATAGCCTAGGCCACCTTTTAATTGGATCATTTGTTAGAGGAGTGCATAATTTTTTCCTTATGTGCAAACAATATTTATTAGGATATCCTAACAAATATTACCAAGTTAAAAAGGATTCCAATTAAGCAAACTATGTTCTCTTAATTAAAAATCAATAAAATAGGGGCTGGAGAGATTGCTCTGTGGTTAAGAGCACCGTATACTCTTGCAGAGGACTTGGGTTTGATTCTCAGCACCCACATGGTAGCTAACAACCATCTCTTACTCCAGTTCCAGGGGATCCTAAGCCCTCTTCTAACCTCTGTGGGCACTGCACAACACAAGTGCACCTACCTATATGCAAGCAATACACTCATACACATAGAATAAAAATAATAAATAAAATAATTTTTTACAAAATCAATAAAATAAAGATACTTTAAATATTCTCAAGTATTTGGAATCTATGTAACACGTTCTTGCAAATGTACTACCTACTCCAAACTAATTTTTTCAAGCAAATTAGCCTACCTAGATGATAATTATTAAGATGATTGAAAGAGATATTCCCTCAAATACTCCAAGCTTTATTTGAAGAAGCAATCTCCTCTTTCCAGATTACTGCTTTGAAGTCTAATAGCTACATAGGCATAGAAGGTCAGTTTGCTTGAAAATCAGACTTACTCCCATATAGTCATAAGTTTCAAAAAATTCTTTAAAATTACTAGAAAGACAAAGTTAGCATTCTAGCAGATCTGCAAGTAAAGCTAATGCTCTTTGCCTGATACTTATTCTTGCTTTCATTAAGTTGTTCAAGTATTCAGCAAGTTATCAGGTCACAGTGTAAGCCAGACAGCACTGTCACGGCGCAGAGATGGAGATGCAGAGCTTGCTTTCATATAACTACCTTGGGAAGGGTGATTGGGAAGGCTGTGTGTAACCACATAGGATGTCAGGGGAAAGTGATGCATGAGCAGATAAAGCCAATCAGGAATCTAGAACTATTGATGGGGAGAATCTGATGGAGGAAAACTGCCACAAGTAAATACTTGATCTATCTGAGTATACTATATTATACATCTGAAACTGTCAAAAGGACAAATTTAATAAAAGAAAACATATTTTAAGTTTAGGGTTAATTTTATCTGTCCTTAAAAGAGGCTGTTATAGAGTCTTACCATAAAGTCCTGGCTAGCCTAGAACTCCCTCTGAGACCAGGTTGGCCTGGAACTCCCTATGATCCACCTGCCTCTGCCTCCCAAGTGCTACCATGCCCCAGCTAAGTCGTTAACACGTGATCCCTACAGGATAGAACCTGGGATGTCTCATTAATAACAGCAATTGACTGTGTTTAATAAAAAGGCAATAGAGTCTGTTTTAAAAAAGAGGCTATTATTATCAAAATTTCTAGACTTTTCCACATGGAAGCATAAACGGGTAACAGCTTCCCTCTCTCCCCAGGCATTTTTAACAGCAGCTGTCAAGGAGTTGTCCCAAGAACAGCAGAGAGCAGAGGAAGCCAAGAGTACACTTCAAACTCCACAGATGGCAAATGCGGTCTTTGATGCCTGGTATTACCATGAAGACGCTTATAACAAAAAATAAAATATGCCCACTTCTCAAAAAGTTATTATACATCACTAACATTGTCTACCAGTCTCCTCAAAAGTGCATCTGCAATCACTTATTGATACGTTTCCTTCCCATGATTTCTAACAGTAAAAGCAAAGCAGTACACAGAAAGCTGAGAACTTTGAGTCAGCACGGTGGTTGTGCACGCCTGTAATCCTAGCACTCTGGAGGCTGAGGTAGGAGAATCAGTTTCAGGCTAGCCTGGGCTATGCAATAGGATCCTGTTCCAACAAGAAAGGATGAGAAATAATATGGCATTCTACCTCATTCAATGCGATCAGTACAATTCGTTCCTCCAATTTAGAGCGACCTAAACATTACTGCAGAATCTCTCCTAGAGATCTTGTTTCGCCAGCCCCTGCAGTACCACTAGCAGAAAGAGGTTTGATTTGTTGCAAAGAAACCAGACATATGTTGCATGCACATTCTTACCTAGCCATTATTTGGAAAGAAAGCCAGTCTGGGGTCAGAGGTCAGATGTGATGAAAAGTTAATATACAGTGTGAAAGTTTATAATAAAAAAACTGATGATCAAAAATTATAATTTACCTGCCTTGTGTCTCTCCTTGTATAGTTTACTTGCTTTATGTTTCAATCAGTCAGAGTATTGAATGCTCTTTTTCTTTTTCTTTTTCCTCTGTTCCCTTGACAGACAGCTGCCACTGGTATAGTATCAGGGCAAGGATGTAATCAAGGCTTTCCTGTTAGCACCAGCTACCAAAACCTGGCTCCACTGACTAAATGAGGACCTGTGAAAGTGCTGGTGAATGACCTTTTCCTCAAAGGTCTAAAGCTAGGAGAGAGTCAAAGGTAGCCAGTAGTGAGTGAGTGTGTGCATGTGTGTGTGTGTGCATGTGTGTGCATGTGTGTGTGTGTGCATGTGTGTGTGTGTGCGTGTGTGTGTGTGTGTGTGTGTGTGATAAAGATTGTCTTTGAAATTGTACATCGGCCACCAGCTCCCGTGAAACTTCACAGCTTTGTTACCTTGGAATTTGTCTATGTTTAATGTTAGAGGATGATGGTATTTTCTAAGATAAGGCTTTCACTTATAACAAACTCTACTATCACTACCCGCTCTCCCTGATACCTCCACATACTCTTAATACATCCAGGGTCTCTCAGCTGAAAACTAAAGCTAGTTCTTAACCTTGGGGGCATTCTCTCCAGACCACTTGGCTCTGTTCACGTTCCACCAATTCCATGATTTCTATGTCTAGGACAGTGTACCATGAACATTCTACAGTCATTTTCTGATTGAATGGTACATGCATTGGCTGGTTTTCAGCTGGTGGGTGGTAGCTGATTGTGACACACACCTGTAGTCTAGGTGGGACGGGTAAGAAATGGCCTTACATGGATTTGCTAGCTTTAGTTGAGAACTGAAATGGTACAACTAACCTTGGTCATTAGGCTCTTCTTTCTCCTTTCCTTGATAAAAATATGTGCTATGGCAAATCATCTTATTTCCAAAAATTCTTTTATAAATTTGAGGTCCTTAAAACTCATCATGAATGATTAATGTAATAATATAAATAGCCTTCATGATAAAGAACCAGCAACAGTTAACCATGTGATGAGGTGAAAGATTCAAACAGCTGAGACTCACTGGGCTAGGCTCAGAGTTTTGGAATGGTTTTCAGAATTCGCTATAATTAAAATGTCATGTTAGAACATAAGAACAAAACCTTGTGCTGAGATCTAATGATCTTGTCCTGCCTCTCTGGGCACTGGGATGTCTAGTTGAAGGGTAGAGCATCTATACCAAGTAGAAAAATAGCACGCATGTAGCACAGTTGGAGGCTAGATCAGTTTCTGCTGTATTCACTTAGTCTGGCCCCATGCCTGGATTCTAAGGCCCCATTTGATGTTCTGTTTCGATCTGACAAGAAAAGTGTGAATGTGAGCATAACTTCACTGAAGAACCAACATTGATCTCAGAGATTCTTGCACCACATGAAACCACACTACCAGCATGCCACAGGTACACATCACAGACAGACAGATGAAAACATGATAGTGCCAAGAGTGTGGGACGACAAGGAAAAACACACTGGTTATGTTTAAGGGGAAAGTATTTTTCCCTAAACGATTGACAATTACATATATCAAGCCTAGATCTGAAAAGTTTTCTCATATACCATCTTGGCAAAGGTCCTTGAGGTGACCCAATGAAAGACAAAAGTAGATCACTGCTCTTCTGAAACTCTTTAAAGTTCTGAGTACCTTATCCTGAATGAGTGAATGGCAGACATGCTGTCTGATTTTAACCACAAAAATCTCTGTCACAGTAACATAAAAGTGCCCTCACAATTCTGATGTGGTCAATGCTGCCTGGTGCCTATAAATACCTGCTTCATGGTACATCCCTGTGGCTCTGTCAATGATCTTTATCTGTCCAGGTGGATTTCACTACACCTGAACGTGTATGCATCTATCATAGATAGATAGATAGATAGATAGATAGATAGATAGATAGATAGATAGATAAGCCTAAAAATCTATTCCCCCAAAAAACAATTCAGGAAGAATGTTTCTACCTCACCTGACCCAATGTGTATTCAATTTAAGGTATACATTTTCTTGATGTTTTGTTTCAATGCAGAACAGAATTGTTTGCCTTTAGTGTTAACCATTGGTTGGACAGTCTCAATGTCTGCCATCATTATCTGAAGTTGTGATGGCACTTTTAGGTTATTCTTTCTGCCTTATGTTAAAAGAAAATTATAGAATATTTAGTCGCATAAACAAGAAGGCCCAAAAAATACATAGTCGTCACAATTCAACTCCAAATTTGTGATTGAAATGAAGCTTATTAAAATCATGGTTTGGGTCGTCTATCATGGTAATGTGTGTCTGAGATTGAAAACTTATTTATTCCTAGGCTATAATGGTTCTTCATGAATATAGGCAGATTGAGCCTGTCAGAAGACCTCTCCTCTATAAGCATCCTGAGAAAAAGAGGAAGGAAAGATAAAAGGGTGAGAAGCCTGAGCTCCAACTAGGTGCATGACTTGGGTCTCTCCAATGGAGTTTGTTCTAGGGATGTTTTGAATCCATTTATATATGAAGTTGGACTAAACTATTGAAAATAAATAATATTTCATTATGTATTTCATAATTCTTCACTGCTGCAAAAGATAACATTTTTCAAAAAGACCTTGCTAATTAGTGTGGGGTTTGACACAGACCGCTTTGCATTAAAATATTAATTCTGCCAGGTGTGTTGGCAGGTTCTTTAGTTCCAGCACTGAGGAGGCAGATGCAGGTAGATCTCTGTGAGATCAAGGCCAGCCTGGTCTACATAGTGAGTCCAGGCCAGCTGGGCCTACAGGGAGACTCACAAAGATAAAAAAATAAGATACTAATTCCAACAGTTCTCAGTTACAGAACCATGAGTGACATGATTAATACATCTTAAGCTTTGGCATCATAACTTATAGAATAATGATCAATGTGAATATTAAGGATAGAATTTATATAAACAGCACTCCTAGCCCAGTATCTGCCAAATACAGGCTCAGCAAATGTCTCTCTCATTTCCTGATTATACCTTTTCTCCTGTCTGTTATGTAAAGCCATTACTACAACTGCAGGTCTTTCACAAAGCAGTACTTGTCGGGGTATGTGTTCTTATTGCCCTATGAGAACCGACATGACCTAAGTGTCTGTAGAGACTCTAACACTCTAGTCAATCTTGAAGAATCATGCTCTTTCTCCCATGAATCTTCTAGATTACAGCAGCAGCCTTTCCTGTTTACCCCCTAGTCTGCTGATAACCACAACTAATGTGCACTTCACAGCATGGCCACAGTTATTCTGAGTGATTAATCATCTTGGCTTTTAAGTCAAACTACATTTTAAAATTTTTTTTGAGAAGGAGTCTCCTTAGGCCCAGGCTGGTCTTAAACTTCCAAGCCTCCTGCCCCGACTTTCCAAGTATGAGCCACATGCTCGGCTTCCAACTTCTATTAGGAGACAATTTCAACATTGTTTGAGATATTATGTATAAAATACACAAATTCAATAAAAAAATTTTTTTAAGAAAAAGAAAAATATCAATGATAATGTTTTTCCAAATTGTAAACTTAAATAATAAAATCATGAGCAATCTATTAAAAAAAGAAACAATTTCCCCTCATTTCAAACTTAAAAATAAATACATGAATAAATCTGCTTAAGAAGATTAGTTCTAGACTATACAACCATTTCAAGAACCCCATAACTAACAAGAACATTAATGTGGGATATTCTCACACACTGAAAAGTAACAAATTTTATTTGTAACCTCAAAAACTTAGATACCTTCTTGGGGTAAACACAATTTAATTAAATACAATTAAAATTCTTGGAGTTTTGTGTTAGATACAATCCTTTTTGTTTGCTTTTTTTAAATTTTGGATTTTGGCTTTTGAGACAGGGTTGTGTTAAATACCCAGGCTAGCTTCAAGCCCACAATCCTCTTGTGCAGGCTCCCAAGTGCTGGTGATCGCAGGTACACCCATGCTCAGCTCTAAATGTAAGTCTTAAAATAATTTTCTGAGACTATGCTAAAAAATAAAGTATATAATCCTAAATTTTCAAAGGGTTTATAAAAATTAAATTAATATTTCACATATTTTATATGAGAAGCAATAAAAGTATAGTTTTACTAGGAATTAAAGTCTTTTTAAAATTTTTTGATTTATTATTTTTATTTTACGTGTATGAGTGTATTGCCTGCATGTGTGTAAGTGCACCTGTGTCGTGCAACACAACAGAGGTCAGAAGAGGGCATCAGATTCCCTGGAACTGGAGTTAAGGATGGTTCTCAGCCTCCATGTGGGTGCTGGGAATTGAACCCGGGTCTTCTGCAAGAACGGTCAGTGCACTTAGCCGCTGAGCCATCTCTCCAGCCCCGGAATTAAAGTCTTACAAGATCAATTTATATTTAGTTCATTCCAAGACTACTTATAGAGTAAATTTTAGCAAGTTGTGATATTGTGCATTCTCGGTTTAGGCTTTTCTATTACAAAAACATTCAGTTTCTTGCCAAAAGACTTTGAAGAAAATTTAGTAAGATTGTAATTACAGACTTCCTATAACCTATAACGATATACATTGTCATAGACAGACGTGACTGTGTGACTTTGTAGTGAAGATTGCTTTTTCTGGCTTGATACAATATGGCCTATGTATGCTAGGGTGTAGGGTGGAGTGCTTCCCTATAGGAAAGTAGTGTAGGTCATCAAAGACAGAAGTTTATTTGTGGAAAACAGGTCACTATTCACTTTTTGAAATCTTTGAAAAGACCCTTTTCTATTCCTTATTGCCACAGACGATTAAAAAGTAGATATCACATGAATTGGTATGTACACAGTCATACCAGGCTTCCAGTTAGCAAATATTAACTGAGTATTCATCACAGACTACGGAAACACTTTGTGCATACATACATGCATACATACATGCATACATACATACATACATACATACGTGTATATACACATAATTGTGGTATATGTGTAAAGGTATATTTGGTTCAAGTGGCATTTCTCCTTTAGCATACCTTAGTATGCCATTCAGTTGTTTCTAGTTACTTATATGGACATAATTTGTCAATTTTCTTAGTGATAGTACTGTCTAACAATGTATAAACAGAAACAAAAATACAGCGGGATTTGCTTCTTGAAGTCATATAAGCAAAACTGGGTATGTTTAATGATTCAAATTGTGCTGAATAGGAGACATGACCAGGTTGGAAAAAACTTTGGGGAGTATCTTATGA